CAAAGATTTGCAATATGTTTGTATGTAATCTATTTGCACACAGAAAGATTGACCAAGTACCAACAAATTTTATTATATTCAAAAATGTGGATGATATCTTCGGTTTTTAGATTTTTCTGTATAATTCTGACAATTCCCTCCTTTTTACCGAAGCAGAAGTGGGATAGCCACGTTATAGAGAAACGATAATTTGAAATAATCAACTTTCAAAGAGAAGATGATGGATATCTCAACCATTTTTGACCAGACACAGGTTTTATTGGCACAGGGTGTCCCAATAAACATGGGAAATTGAGAGACGACAATATCGTCTTTGATTTCCGATATTTGATAAATGACATTAAATGCATCAAAAAAAGATTAAAAATCTTATAAGCTTTCCAAAATGTGATCTAAGTTCTAATATCCTCTTTAAAACTCAAGGAGATGTTAAACATTTGAACAGTTTTGTTGATTTTATTAAATTGGAATCTGGACAAAATTCATATTATCTCCGTCCATTTTGAAGGTAAAAAATTGGTGGACCACATTTTGGAAATCCCGAGACTGGTAGTTCTCGGTGTTAAATATTTTTATTGAGAAACTACAAAATTATATTTACGAAATAACTTCGCATGGGACATAGACGATATAGAGGTCGTCATTTAATTCCCATGTTTATTGGGACTACCTGTAGAAAGATACCTATGTAAATTAAATGTACCACTTAAAATTACGTTTGCTCAAAATGTCTCAAATTTTAATTTTGAAATTTTGAAAAATCGCTACTTTAAAAAAATCTCCTTATTTTTAAACTGATATTGCGTCATAATAGACGAGGATAAAATGATGACAAAGAAATGAGAGACAATGAGAAGTTACAACTATTTTTAATAAAAGGATTGGAAGTCTAGCCTCTTAAAATTCAACAAACTATATAAGATTATTTAGCGTTATAGTGAATGTAATTATGAATAAAGATTGGAGAACAGAGTGACGATTTTAATCTGTTAAGAAAATAAATTTAATTTCCTCGAAGGTAAGTATTTGCTGTACTTTTTGGGAGGGAAAATTTAATTAATAACGTTAATTTAATTCTTCACATGAACACTTTTAATTATTTAAAATTAAATCTTTTTAATGTCAAGAAATTCTTTAATGTTTTTAGTAAAAATATTTAGATTTTATTCTTTTTTTTAAAAATGTCATTATACTCAGTGAAGCATGGTAAAGTGGGACCTCATCAAATATGATACTAAATTTAAGTTATCTGTAAGGTAATAGACAGATAGAAATATAGACAGATAGACAGATAGACGGATAGACGGATAGACAGATAGACAGATAGACAGATAGACAGATATATAATACTAAATTTAAGTTTTCTGAAAAGGAAAGGAAATAGACAGATAGACAGATAGACATATAGAAAGATAGACATATAGACAGATAGACAGATAGACAGATAGACAGATAGACAGATAGACAGATAGACAGATAGACAGATAGACGGATAGACAGATAGACAGATAAACGGATAGACGGATAGACAGATATACAGTGGGACCACGTCAAATATAATACTAAATTTAAGTTTTCTGAAAAGGAAAGGAAATAGACAGATAGACAGATAGACAGATAGACATATAGAAAGATAGACATATAGACAGATGGACAGATAGACAAATAGACAGATAGACAGAGAAAACGATAGAAATATAGACAGATAGACAGATAGACAGATAGACAGATAGACAGATAGACAGATAGACAGATAGACAGATAGACAGATAGACAGATAGACAGATCAAGACAGATAGAAAGATAGACAGATAGACAGATAGACAGATAGACAGATAGACAGATAGACATATATACAGATAGACTGATAGACAGATAGACATAGAAAATGATGTAGGAATATGGGGAGGAATAAAAGGTTATAGGACATGGGGAGAAATTATAGGATATAGGAAATGGGAAGAATTAAAAGGTTATACAGGACATGTGAAGAAACAAAAGGATATAGGACGACATAGGACATGAGAAGAAATAAAGTATTTAGGACATGAGAAGAAATAAAGGATATAGGACATGAGTAGAAATAAAAGAATATAGGACACGGGGAGAAAGAAAAGAATATAGGACATGGGGAGAAATAAAAGAATATAGGACATGGGGAGAAATTAAAGAATATAGGACATGGGGAGAAATAAAAGGATATAGGACATGGGGAGAAATAAAGGATATAGGACATGAGTAGAAATAAAAGAATATAGGACACGAGGAGAAAGAAAAGAATATAGGACATTGGGAGAAATAAAAGAATATAGTACATGGGGAGAAATAAAAGATTATAGGACATGGGGAGAAATAAAAGGATATAGGACATGGGGAGAAATAAAAGGATATAGGATATGGGGAGAAATAAAAGAATATAGGACATGGGGAGAAAAAAAAGAATATAGGACATGGGGAGAAATAAAAGAATATAGGACATGGGGAGAAATAAAATGATATAGGACATGGGGAGAAATTAAGGATATAGAATAGGGGGAGAAATGAAGGATATAGAATAGGGGGAGGTTTGATGAAAGTATAAAACCTTAAATTAACTTTATGTAGAAAAAAATGTAGATATATCTTTTTCCTCGGTAAAGCACTATTTATTCTTATTAGGTAAGTGACAGAAGGATGG